TTGGCACCAACCTGATAGCACATAATCAATTTTATTTGTGTTCCCAGGTGTTGTGAATCACTTCTTCAGAAAGCTATGCACAGCTCATTCGATAATATACAAAAAGAGAAAGGAAGTCTTGACACAGGGTCTTGAGGCTGTTAGGGACTGGACAGGAGAAACATCCTCAGATTAAACTCTACTAAGTCAGATATGCTGTTTATTATACATTTTGGCACTCATGAAACTTTGGTTCCAATTTTAGGACTAGATGGGATTGTGCTCTCCCCAAAGGAGCGGCTCATGATTTTGGGTTCTCCTGGAATTGCAGTTTCTGCTGGAACAAAGGATGGAGTTCATGGCCAGTGGGACCTTTACCCAGTTGTGACTGCTGGCATTCCAGATATGGTCTTACCTGCATCAGGAGGTCTTAACACAGAGATCCGTGTCCTTAATGCTTCATGATTGGACTATTGCAAGATGCTCTGGTTGGGTCTGCCTTGAGGATAACTCAAAAGCTATAATCGGTACCCAATGCAGTGGCCAAACTACTAGCAGGGAACATCTGCTAATGCAGAACACTATCTCATTTATGGTAGCAGCACTACTCATAGTTGCCAGTAGGCTTCCAGGCCCAGTTAAAGTACTAGTGACCTATAAAGCTATGTGGGACAGCTCCAGGTCACATCATGGACCCCCTTGTCTAGAATCAATCTCCTGCACATCATGTCAATGTTGTCTAGATACCACCCATACAAGATGTAAGAGGACAGGATGTTTCAGTTGTGACCTCAACACTATGGAATATGCTGTTTCTGAGGATATACTTAGCCCCTTGCTCCTGGTATTCAGGAGAAAGCTTAACCTTTTTATTTTTAAATGGTCTTTTGAAAGTTGGTGTCTACTTGCTGTTGCTACACTGCCATCTTTATTACTGTTGGGAGGGTGGGATTAATATGGGGAGGACTTTTTTTATGCTGAGGTTGATGTACACTATCCAGAGACATTAGATTGGGATGGTATACACATTTAGTTAATACATAAATAAATGCAGTAGAAGTAGCCTAGTTTTAATAAAAACTGTGGACTAGAATGGGAGAAATCAGAGGAGGGTTTTGATTCCCTATGAGACCTGTTTTTCCTGAGGGTAGAAGTCTCTGCTTGGATTTTGGGATGTCAGAAGCATAGGGGAAAAGGAAAAACTGAGGAGGTTGCCTTTGGCTAAGATCAACCAGTATGAGGAAAGATCTAGAAGATGGAACTCCCTTCCATGCAGATATTCTAAATCCGTATTTCTCAACCTCAGCAACTTTAAGATGTGTGGACTACACCTTCAGGAATCCCCCAGCCAGCATGCTGGCTGGGGAATTCCAGGGGTTGAAGTCCACCCATCTTAGAGCTGCTGAGGTTGAGAAACACTATTTTAAATGACCTTCACACATCTTGCCATATACTGTACCCTGGTATCCAGATAAGGCTTGGAAATGTGTCCATGCCCTAAAACAATGAAAACCATTTGGCAGATTTCTACCCCCTCGCTTGTCACTACCAAACAAAAGTCATTTTATTTTAATGAACAAAAAGAGGAGGAAGAAGACAAAGATGAATCAGAAAGTTAAAAAAAAAAACTAGGAGTGTTGGGAAATCAAAATGAGATTTTGCCCTTCTTCATTTAATTTTACGTTTTGCTTAGTACCATTTGTTTTATCCAGCTTCCGTTTCCCTTCCCGTCTTTGGTTGTCTCCTTTGTATCACTTTGCAGTATCGCTTTGCCAGATTGCAAAGGCATAGGGACGGTGCCTCTTATCCTGTCCTTTGTCATTTATCATGGATAAGAATATCATAATTTTTCATAACATATTGATTTCCAGCGCTTGCACATATTTGTAACCACATTTGAATTGACCTAGTAAAGTGCGTGCCTTAATACGGATTTTTGTGGCATAAGAAAATGCCTCAGATTTGCAGCCGAGCAAAACTAGCTCTTAGCTGGCTGGGGAGACTGAGGTGTGAAGCCACTGTTCAAATCCTACATTCCTAACATGGTCTGAACAAACCGGTGGTCCACCCAGCAAATGTTGGCAAATTGGCAACTTTAGAGAGCCAGCATGAGATTACAGAGTGCGGTGGGGAGTTTAGCTCAACCATCTGTTCAACCTTAACTGTCTCTTGAAGGTTTGTACCAGAAGGTGGCCTACCTCCTCCCTAAAGTAGAGAGAACCCTTCCACACGGGATCACACTAGCTTCTTTGTTCTCTCTGCCCCACCGTGCTGCTGATTGGTGGAGCGCACAAGATGATGTGTCCAAACTGAATGCAAATATTGGATTTTTCCACTGTGGTTACGGGCACCCTGCAGTGCATTTACCTCTCCTTTTATAGCTTCCACAAAGATCTCTTTCATCCCATTGCATTTCATAAAGGCTATGGGCAGCTGCTAGGTTCCAGGCTTCCAAAACCAAGATGTGGTAGGAACCAGAAACTTTCTTCCAGAACCACCATGAACTGGGGAAGATATTTGAGGGACAAGCATAACAGGAGAATTTCATTTGGTCTGCACTTTTAAGTCAACCCACCTAATTATCTTTCAGTATCTAGCAGCTTCAGCCAGCCATGACCAAATGTGAGGAATGATGGGAGCTGTACTTCAGTAACATCTGGAGGGCAACAGATTTTTCATCTTTATCTCATAATACTAAATAAATTACTTTGTGTGAAAAATATATTCCCCAAGCAATTGAGAACATGGCTTCTTTTATTGAAGGAGACGTTTCTTAAAGTCTGTTATTGCATTCTAGGAGATCTATTATGCGCCACAGGTGAATTTACTTAACACATTGTGATCACAGTCTCCTTGAATATTTGATATGAGGCATGTTAGCCAGCATGTGCAAGTTTTGCAGAAAACAAAATCTATTGTCTGTGCTAGAACATCTCAGAAAATCTGGGCCTAATAGGAAAAAAAAAAGGGGGGGCAAAGGAGCCCACATGGCCTTTCAAAATCCTGCACCAAATTTATGACCAGATAAATTGAATGGCCAGGATCTCTCCATTTTTCCAGAGGCAGCAGAAATTCTCCAGTAATTTCTCACGGGCATAACTGTCCCTAAGTGGAGACCAAAAGACAGCTCCTACAAAAGGTCCTTCAGAAGAGTTCTTTCAGATGTCTTCCCTTTGTATTTAATGAGAGACAGTATAGTATTGTGATGACATTGTTGGACAAGGAACATGAAGACCCAGTTCTTGTCCATCCTCTATCACAGTAGCTTCCTGAGGTGCTCTGACTGGTCCTTTTCTCTCAGCACAGTCTATCTCCCAGCATTGTTATGGGGAAAAATAGGAAGAGGAAACGCAACGGATAGTTCCTTGAGCTCCTGAATCAATCAGTCAGTCAAATTAAATAACTAAATGGCAGTATAGGAAGCCAGGAAGGTTGCAATGAGAAATGATTCTACAATGAAAGAAAGGACATTCACTTCATCCACATCTCTTGCCCTCTTTGTCACCGAATTGTGCAAGTCTCTCACACTCCCTGCAGAAGAATGGCCAGAATTCTCTTTTTTCTTCTTCTTCTTCTTTGAAGGAAATTAGAGCTGGTAAGAAAAAAATGCAGGAGAACGTCTTAGGATGAGCACTTTAGTTCCGACGCATTTAGAAGGGCCAGACTGGGAAAGGCTTGGCTATTTTTTTAAAGCTGTACATGGATTGGGACCACAGCTTCCCATATCAGCAGAGGCCTCACCCTGCACCGAGAGGGAGCGAGTGCCTACTTGAGAGTCGTCCTTTTCAGTCGTAGCCTCAATTAAGCAAAGTTATGGAATATCCTCCTCAGAGTGACCTGCCTGGCACCTCCCTTGTTATCCTTTTCTGCATGTAGTGAGGATCCTTCCACTCTGTTGGTCCTTTAATTCCTCTTATTTTTTGGCTGCTACACTGGGTTTTGGGAAGCTGGTACTTCCACGATAGTTTTAGATTTTAAGATGCCTCTTTCAGCTTCTGCTGCTTTTTCGACAATTGCTGTCCCTCTCCCCTCCCCCCCCGCCCCAATTCGTTTTATGACGTTCTTCCTTTGATTTGATACGGATTTTATCTTTTTGCTGTAGGGTTGGGTTCTAGGGTGACTAATAAATCTCTGGAAGTAAGAAATGAGATAGAATTTATGGGCAGATCCCAAAGCTGACTGAAGCGGGAGCCACCGTCGGCAGTGTGCAAAAACACCTTTGTTCCTGTTTGCGAGTCAGACAACGGGAGGGCTGATGGCAAAATCGCCTTGTGCACATCTTGGGGGAAATCATCCCGTATACAAAGGCGTTTTGTGGTTTCTCTTCCTCTCATTACTGAGAACGTTTGTACATGTGTGGTGAGGGGAAAGTCAGCCTCTTTAACAAAATGGAGTGGAAATTTCTGTCCTCCACTGGTGTCAGTTTTGGCACACAGGGCTTTCTGTGTCAGACCCTCGCCAGGCCCCAAATCCACTCTTTGCGCCATGCTGTGCTTAGATGCCAAAAGAAGGATGTGTGAAACAGACAAACTTCAGGCCTATCCTGAGTTGTTTCTACATCCCAAGGAGTGGCTCCAAGACTCCAAGTCAGTGTTGTCCAAACTTGGCCACTTTAAGATGAGTGGACTTCAACTCCCAGAATTC